GGTTTGACAGCCCCCAGCACTGTTTATTTCAACGTGTGTCATATATAGGCAACACCAGGTGGGTTGGGGTAAAAGCACCGGACATGTTAGAGTACGCACGCTGGCATGAGTTCCCGTCCCGTAAACACTTTTTGTAAGGCTCGCCGCTTTCTCTTCAAGTACCCAGGGTCACAATACACTCTGTAGTACCGTATTTTCCGGACTATACAAGTTTAAAAGTTGAAAATTCACCCGATGCAGAATATCTACAGGTGCGGACAATACAATGATTTAATTTTTCTAGATCCTTCACTATGACAATTGTGAAGGATTTTATGAGTAACGGACTATACTAATGTTGATTTACGTACGATAAAGCTTCATCGTGACCTAATACAGTAGGCGTTTGTCAAGTTCTGCTGAGTATGATACTTTTTACGTTCGGACTAGGTGCTACGTGCGGGCTTTGCACTGGGTGCCGATTGTGTACCGGGTGCGGACTATCTAAGAAAACACTTCTATTTTTGACGCAAAATATTTCCCTGCGGACTATGCACCGGGTGCGGGCTATAGTCCGGAAAATGCGGTAGTTCCTTCGAACTCTAGGGTTTTTGGACGATGGCTCTTGGCCTATGCCCATCCTCACATGGCCCTGGGTCACTTCACATGGACGGCAGAAGCAGTCAAATGCTCGGAGTAGCCAAGCATGCTTATCGCAAAACAAAACAAAAATTCAGAGACGAAACCGAGAGGCTAGGCTTTGAAATGCTGCAGAAAGGAGAGTTCGGTTTCGGGCGCTTCTCTGGTATCGCCGGAGGAAAGGGGTCGCTGTGCCTCCCGCCGCAAATCGCCCATTATGCGCTTAGCTTAGCTTATCTGGCCTCGAGATGCAGCAACAAAAGGAGTCTCCCCGCCGTCAAGTTAACTATGGGAGAGGAGGAAATGGGAAGTGTGGCGAGGGGAACTTTTTTTCTGGTTGAAAAATATTCTGCAGGTTGGTCTTTGAGCGCCGCGTGGTGGGAAGTTTTGAAACTAGCCCGAATGTCTCGGAATCTTGGCCTTGAAAAGGAGTCCAAACAGGGTAGTTTTAGTCGCCTGATGAACTGTGTTATTAATTCCCCACTGGACCTGACGCAATGTCGAGTCCCAATCCCGACCATCTTGGTCTTTGGCCAAGCTTGCCACCGCCGGAGTCGAGTCGAGCGCTCGACTTGTCCGTTCGCTCAAAGCGTGTTGGTTACGTTCTTGACGTGGGCAATGCTCAAGGTTTCGCAGATTGCCTTGAATTTGGCACTAGTGAATGCAGTCGCTAGGTCTTTGATTTCCATTGTCGGCGGCCCGAAGGTGCTGACCACATCCTGTAGGAACTGTGCTGCCGGTGCAGCTGACGGGTTGCGAACTGCAACGACTTCGCGAAGCCGTTGAACGGCAACAATTATGTAAGCATTTCTAGACTTACTCCTGACAAACGGTCCAAGATGGTCAATATGGACGGTGTGAAAGGGTTTCGCAACCTTTTCGATGCTGCGCAATTAACTTTCCCGGTTTCTTTCCTGATGTCTTGTGAAAGAGGCACTCAATGCAGGTGGCGATGTATCTTCCCAAGTAGCTTTTCATGCCTGAGAACCAGTACGTTTCCTGAGTATGGTCAGGGTCTTGTCCACGGCGAAGTGCCCAATGTCATCGTGGCACGACCTCACCACCCTACAACGTGCCTGGCTCGGAACGACCCGCAGGAGGTTTTCCACAGAGCCGCTGCCTTGGAACTTCTTGAATTGCCGTTGCGCAACTGGCATTCGCCTTGAACACGACGGTCTTTGAAAAGCTGTTGCTTTCGCTCAAGTTTCTCCTTCAGTGCCATGATCTTGGGATCATTCCGCTGGGCAATAGCAAGGGCACTCCTCGATCCCGACGTTCGTAGCGATCTGGCGACCACTGACAACTTCCATCTCTCCGGGGGGGGGGGGGGTCATAAGAACGACTTAACTCATCGACGTGCGCCATCGTTGTGCCCTTCCGATATTTGATATCAAAGGTAAACTCTTGAAGACAAAGCCACCACCAGCCAATTCGTGGCAGAAGAGTTCCTGCATTACAGTCGGTCACCACTTTGAAGTTGAGTACGATCAGGTAGGTTCAGAACCTTTCGAGTACCCGCACTACCGCCAACGTTTCCAGCTCGTGCGAGTGGTATCTCTCTTTGTGGTCGGTTGTCCGTCGACTGGCGCAGACGACTGGGTGGAGCTCTCAGTTAGTTTGCTCTTGTAAGAGGATCGCTCCCAGCCCATCTTTGCTGGCATCAGTGTAGACCTCTGTTCTTGCGTCGAACGAGAAGTGCGCCAAAATAGGTTTCTCGACCATGTTTCTTCTTCAGATCGTCAAACGCGGCATCATGTGTATCGGTCCATTTCCAGGGTTCGCCCTTGGGCGTCAGCTTTGTTAGAGGTTTGGCAACGGTAGTGACCCCCCCCCCCCCCCCCCCCCCCCACACACACACACACAAATATTCCGAAGTAGCTCGTGAGACCCAAACATTGACGTACCTGGTGTACGTTTATGGGCTACGGAAAGTCAGCGATGCACTGCAGTTTGTGACTTCCCGGTCGTACACCTCCCACGGAAATGTCGTAACCGAGGTAGTCCACTCGGCCGTAGAAGTAGCACTTGCTGAGCCGTAACGTTAGTCGGGCTCCTCGAAGGACGTCAAGAACCACCCGTAGATGATCGAGTCCCTCCTCTAGGGTTCTCGTTTGGAGCAAGACGTCCATGTAGGCGAGTGCCACGGTGTAGCGCAAGGGTCTCAACAGAGCGTTAATCATCCTTTGGAATACCGCCGGTGCGTTAGCCAATGCGAATGGCATACTGACGAATTCATAGTGGCCGTCCGGTGTGACAAACGCAGTCTTGTGTCGCGACTCTTCTGACAAGGGGATCTCGTAGTAACCATGCAGACGCCAGGTCGAGGCTCGTGAAGAAGCACTTCCCTCGAAGACGGTCTAGCTGGTCGTCCATCAGTGGCGGGGGTACCTGTCCTACTTCGTGAGAAGATTCAAGGCTCGATAGTCCACGCAGCCTTTGTTTTCCAGTCTACTTTCGTACCATCAGGATAGGACTCGCGTATTCTGAGGTTGAGTCGACGACGAACCCCGCTTCCTTGAGTCCTGTGATGACTTCCTTCGTGTGGACTCTTTCCGCAAAGGAAAGTCGATAGGGGCGGAACTAGACTGGCTCCTGGGCCGTCAGCTCAATCTTCATTTCGGCCATTTTCGTGTGTCCAATCTCGGAAATCTTGCGTGCGAAGCAGTCGCTGTACCCATCAATGAGGCGTTCAAGTACATCTCGCTGCTCCAGAGTGACAGAGGGCCTCGTTTTGATCTCCTCGCTTGGAACAGCTGTGTTGATGTTCATCTCGTTCCTCGGAGAGGGCTCGTCGCCTGGATAGCAGACCACAAATCGTGCTATGCGCTAGTTCTCTTAGATGTCGAGGTTGTGATCCGACACGTTCATGATTGGCAGGCGAGTTTCGTTGTCCTCGCTGACGTTTAGGACACAGAGAGGTACGCAGTGTGCACGTCCTTCTTGGCCCCTAAACTGTGCGTCGACGAACACATCCGTGTGGGGTGCTCTGCTTGTGACGTGAAGTTTGACGAATCCCATATACTTCGGGGAACTACAGTTGATTCCTTTGCCCAAAGGCAGACAAAACGCTGCGGCAGATCAGGGATCTTAATAGAGCGCAACGTGTCGTCGTTCTCGTGAACGTTCTCGCGCCCCTCGAAAATCCTTACCGTGTTTCGACGTCTCAAAACCGTCACGTGAGTTTGCTCCGTGAAAGGCTGTCCCACGAGAAGGGGTATAGACTGCGAGCTTCTGGGCACCACAAACAGCTGAACATCCGCCGTCGCTGGGTCGATCGCGATGGTAGCACTTGTCTCGCTACACGGTGTGACGCGTCCATGGTTTATACCGTCCGATGGTAAAACGGTACTGCCGCGGCTTCGACTCGTTATATTTAGGCGGTCCGCATCTTCCTGTCGCAGAGTAACGCACTGAATACCCAGGTCGACATACGCTAACACTTTCTGGCCATTTAGTTTCGCAGGCATAGAATACTTTTCATTGGCAGCTTCGGCGGCGTGAAAGTTTGCATCGACCATATTCTGGGCGACGCGTGACCCGCAGTCTCGCCTGTCGCGACAGTCCTTTGCGTCATGTCCCGCGCGCTTGCAAACGCCGCACCGCGCCTTCCGCTGCGGTGACGGGCGGTTCAGAGACACATGACCGTAGTCGTCGCAGTTGAAACAGAGCATTTCTCCCCTTTCGTTGAAGAGCGGCTTCCTCCTAGGAACGAGCGAAGGGTCCAGCCTTTCACACCGCGCCTCGGACCTCGACGCCGTCGCTCGGTCGGCTGCGTTGTCGACGCGGCGCCTCGAAGTCGCGGGCAAGCCCAATGCAACTTGAAAGCGGTCCCCTTTTGACGCCGGGGGAGCTGAGGACGCCATGTTGTCCAAGCGCTCTTCAAGGCGTTTTAAGCAGTGAAGTAGCTCATCTGGTGATTCGTACGTGCGTACGCTGACTGCCCTGATAGCGCCTTCGCCGTTTAGTCCGGTTATGATGTACTCGATGCACGGCTCGTCACTAAGGTTGCACCGACGAGCCTTGGAGAGTAGTATGATTCAATCGGCTCACCTCGCTTGCGACGCCGATCCTCCATGTCACGATGTAGGCGTTGCACCGATGTTGCCGACGGGAACGCGCGCCCGAGTTATTTCCATTCCGGCCAAGTTTTATCCACCGACGACAGGAAATCGTACCAGCACCTCGCCGGGCCCTCGAACTTTGTAAGTGCGTTGCAGGACATCAGCCTGTCAGTCCAATGACAGATGTTGGCGAGGTCGTCGATTCGTCGGATCCACCCGTCAACCGTCGGGGCAGCTTGATAAAAGCGGGTTGAACGATGGTAACAGCCGCGCCGTCTTCCCTACGCCGGAGATAGGCGAAGCAGAGTCTGGAGAAGCGCCATGCCGCTGACAACTTCTCTCGCCGCAGTCTGGGCTGAGGCTTGGATAATCGCCGTTACGTCCAGCGTTGAACCAGGTCCAGTACAGACGAAGTCGGAAGTTCGTTCCCGGTCTTCTCCCCTTTGTCCTTGTTCCCGCCATCTTCTTCGTCGTTCGTGACGGTCGAAGATGCTGCGTTACGAGCAATGGTTGAGAGTCACAGGACGCATCGTTGGGCTGAGCAGGCGATCGTTTTATGTTCGGGGCGTTCGCAGTTGATCCCACTTCTGAGTTGTTTAGACGACTTAGGTAAAATAAATGGCTTTATTGTCAATCTAACGGCATGTTGCACATTCGCTCTTCTCCACTGCCCCAGAGAGAGTCCTCCTCTCCCCCCGGGTTTGCGCCGCGCGCGCGCCGATTCTCGCGTGGTAGCGCCATCTCGTGGCCCAGTGGCGAACGGCGGGTCACAAGAGTTTCGATTCAGGTGTTCGGAATTCGGGAAATTAAATAGCCGCGATTATGTCCTGTGTGACCGATTCGCGAAAAATGGGGGCCGGGAAAAGAAAGGGTTTTGTAGTACAAAACGTCCGTAAGCGGAAATAAGCCACGGCATCTGCCGTTTCATATGTGTGACACCGTGAACAATCCGTTCGTACAGCAGAGTGGCGCAATGGTGGCGCGCTGGGCTCATAACCCAGAGGTCCGTGGATCGAAACCACGCTCTGCTGAGCTTTTTGGAATGTTATATAAAATTTTATCAATTCAAAGCAACCAGTCATATCTGCCCAAGTTAAATGAAACCCTGAGGGATATAAAAATGATATAAGATCTCATGCCACCAAATTAGTCACTCTGAAGCTCCTCCAAGCTATTTCAACGATGCTGAATGTTACTCTTTCGTTTCATGTTTTACGATGAAAGAGTGAAAAAGCAGATCAGCTGGTGTGTGCCTTCCATATTTTAGCCAAGTGTGAAAGGCATAGACCAGCTTATATGCGTTTTCTCGAAGGCTGGGCGTCGATTAAAATTTTAGCTCGATTAATCTCCCTCCTTTAGTCGAATAATTAATCGATTAATCGCCGCAATTTAATCGATTAATTAATCGATTAATACGTCTTATTAATTTACATGCACATAACTTTAAAAAATTATTTTTTTGTTTTGTTCAGTATATGATAAACCATTTCGATTATGAATCAACCTCGATGTGCGCAGCTGAGAACAGTTCAAAGACACTCACCACACTCACAGATTATTACTTAGGCTTCATGAGGCAAAGAGGTTCGTTGATATTCTTCGGTAACAGCAACCTCCTTTGATTGTTCACAATAGTTTCTGCTACTGAACTACGCAGAGGATTGTTTCGGCACTGAAACTGCCGAAACAATTGTCTGCATCTGTCTGGAGTCTGGAATATCACCCGTAAAGTTTACTTTATTCTAAACTTTGACCTAAAGTTTGCCCTACATACAGGTGTACATTGTACTCGCCTACGCCTGCGTGGTGAAAGCGTTTATTTTTTTTGCTTTCTTTTCGTTTGTCAAAAATGTTACCGATTACCCGGTTAAAGAAATTAATCGCTTTTAAAGTATTAATCGATTAAGGAGTAGGTTAATCGATGAATTGTCCAGCCCTAGTTTTCACTCTTTCTACATAAAAGCTAAAATTAAAATATGAACATTTGACATTAACCTCCTTAAAGGGATGCTGAACCGAAATTTTGATTTCAGAAAATAACGCAGAAGCGCTAGGCGGGACGCTACGAACACAAAAGCATCAATCATAAAGCGATATCTCCAACGGATGGTCGTGTTTTTGAGAAAGAGGAGCGCGCTTGGGGGGGAGGGGGAGGGGGAGGGGGGGGGGGAGAACAAGTCCAAAAAGGCTTGTGAAGTCGCGATTCTCATTTCCTCCTCTCCTCGCTTTGACTCCGCGAGGACGCGAAGAGAGAAAGAAGCAAGGCCGTTTCCCCTCCTCCTCAACTATTGTGCAGGAAACGCGACGTCGCAATTCTCACTCAATCGCATCCTTATTTTACAAAAATACGGCCATCTGTTCGAGATATCGGTTTATGAGTGGTGTCTTCGGGTTGGTGGCGCCCCGTTGAGCACTCTTGCTACTTTATTCTGTGAACTTCGAATTTCGTTTCACCATCCCTTTAAAGGGATGGTGAAAGAGTAGAGGGATGGCAAGGATTTTTTTACTAGTTTTTATTTTGCACCGAACCTGAGCGCACTGAACGTAGTAACTTAATTAAACTTTTTTTCTCGAATTTCGCTTGAATTTAAAAGGTATAGGCAAATTAAAATTACAAAAACAAGCAAAAAATAACCTCCTTCATGACGATTTTGGTAGCTTGGGTGGCCGTGAACTAGAGGAGGGGTAGTGAGCTCAGCGAGCGCTCAGTGCGGCAGCCGTGAAACCGATCGACACGCCGTGAGACCGGCGAAAGCTACCTTCGACGAGTTGTACCTTTTTCCTGCGGCACTGCGCTTTCGTAAAAATGTCCACGTGTTCTCAACGGCCAGCATCACGCTCACACAGGATCTTAAAGAACGTCTTCGGCGAATGACGACGAACGAGTAGAAAACGTGTGTTTAGCACGCTGCCGCCGGCCTCTGGAACGCTAGCAACACGAAAAAAAAACAGCATGCAAGATGGCCGTCCGGTGGCCGCACTCGCGCTGCAGCGAACAGACGGGGATGCCTGATCCAGCGATTGCCATTGAGATCAGTGCCCAGGACCTAAGACGTCGCATATCGCGCGCTTTCGGCACCGCGGGTCGCCCCCGTAGGCGGAGGAGGTTTCCGCGTCGTCCGGTTAAAATATGACGCTCTGATATTTTGTCACTCTTTCTGGCCGGCTAGCTTCCATGAACCCCAAGAGATGTCTAAACCTGTGGGGGCTCTTTATGAAGATCCCTCTACTAATAATCGCCGCCCGATGGGTATGCGCTTCGCCCGTCACCCAGGGAGTGACATAACACAACCAGAAGACAGCGAGTCAACTTTCCGAGGGGGAAGGGGCCCGGTCAGGATGGTGACGACCGATGATGGTGTTCGCCTGATGGTAGTCCCCCGGGAAGTCGAATAAGAAAAAAAAACTAAAAGTTGTTCGATCCCGCTGGACACATTACGACGTCGGTAGGTTTACGGTGGCCACTGTGGCCACGTTTATTTTCAAAACAAAACGACAAGTCAACGGTAATACCAAAACTTCCAAAATTAAAACACCATACTTTAGTCCCCAGTCTCAAGAGCCGAATTCCCCCTGAGAACCCTCTCGGCAGCCCTTTTCTAGCCTCGTAGATGCCTCCTTTCCCTCCAGAGATGGACCAATCACTTCAAATTTCACCACTCCCACGTGGTACACTGTCGTCCAATGGTCGGCGAGCTGTCATCCTGTCGCTGTAACCGTCAAACCTAAATTCCTTGTAGAGTTGTTCTCTGCAATTTTTCCAGTCTGACTGGCGCCAACCGCTAAGTTATTGCATCGGGCAAAAAGCGACAATTTTACACTAAGCGGCAAAACCCTCTATATACAGGCACATTCGGCTAAAAGCCACAACCAGCTGCAAGAAGGGATCTGTCCGAGCGGACTACCGAAACCCGAGACGTTTCTTAACGACCGCGGGGAAGCCGCTCCCCACTCCCGGCCGCTCTGCCCCCGCAAATGCTCCCTCGAAAACGCCGACACTCACAAAGAAAGCTAAAAAAATTTAAAACGAAGCCGATGCAACTGTAGAAAGATAGACTTTTCTAAAACAAACTTTACTTATTTCTAACAAAATCCTTCGTTACTTAACACCTCCCCACCAAGAATGTTGCAAGTACACTTGCTGTTCGCGCAACATAGCGAATGGGTTTACTGTACCTCCCGGTTGCCCGTCGTCGAGAGCCGGCAGTCCAGGCCCGCCGACCCTTGTTGTCGCCCGTCGATCAGAGCTCACAGTCGAAGTCCGTGTCCAGGCCTGCTGTTCGCCTTTCCCACTCCAGTGCTGCGTAGGCTGACTGTCCCGGGTTATCAATGCAGGAGTCTCGCTGCGGAACCACCCCGGGATCGTCATAGCCCAGGTCCTATGGCCAGCGCTCGCCGTTTCCACCGGTTTTGCTCCAGGCCTTCCTGGTGGACCGCTCCGGGGTTCGCCATGGGCCAGGCCAGGCAGCCCGGCTCCAACGTTCTTGTCCAGCTGCAGCCTCGCTCAAACCCCACTGTCTCGCGCCAGCTCGTGACTTCTCCGCCGACCGCCTGTCACGTGCCCTCTGCCTCGTCTTCCACCCTCGGCTGAGTCAGCTCCCACAAACCGCAAAAAAAAAAAAAAAAATAGACGCTTAAATATGGTTGCAGGGCCCCTTTAAAATTGGACGCAGGTTCAATGTTTGATGTTTGATGATAAGTAGGGTGTCGTATTTTGGGGGTTTATTGTTCTTCAATTTCGGGGGTGTTTTCTCGGAGTCTATTAGAGCGCAGCTCTTAGGGGCCCGTTTCCGGCTTGAGCGGCGTCGCCGTCGCCGTCGGCGTCGCCGTCGCCGTCGCCGTCGGCGTAACCGCGCGGTGCATTATGGGACATTTCCCATGATGCACCGGGGTCACGTGACCTCGGGGGGTCACGTGACCCCCCCTTGGTCACGTCGGCGTCGCCGTCGCCGTCGCCGTCGGCGTAACCGCGCGGTGCATTATGGGACATTTCCCATGATGCACCGGGGTCACGTGACCTCGGGGGGTCACGTGACCCCCCCAGGTCACGTGACCCCCCGATGTCACGTGACTCCCCTGAGGTCACGTGACCCCCTCCTCGAGGTCACGTGACCCCCGCCGATGTCGCGTGACCCCCTGATTGCGTCATCGTCACTGATGACGTCACCGGCATCTACATCGTCATCGTCCTCATCACTGATGACGTCATCATCAATGATGACGTCACCGGCATCCACATCGTCATCGTCATCACTGCTGACGTCACCGGCATCCACATCGTCATCGTCATCATCACTGATGACGTCACCGGCATCCGCATCGTCATCGTCATCATCACTGATGACGTTACCGACATCCGCATCGTCATCGTCATCATCACTGATGACGTCATCAGTG